GTAGTACGTAGTAGAGAGAGAGAGAGAGAGAGAGAGAGAGAGAGAGAGAGAGTAGTCCTCAATCAGTTTGTCTCATAATCTGAAATCAAATTCAACTTGAGCTTTCTTTTCATGTTTGTTAATATGGAATTTATCATTGATTTTGCATTAAGTATCTCAAGTGTTTATCACCATAGATTTTTACTTAACCATTTTCGTCTTTTTTAAGTCGAGCAATTTTGGACCCATGTCACCAAGTATATTCAATTTTAACTTGATGAATTAAAAATATGGCGACAATGATGATATGTTCGAGACAATATTTATGGATCTTTGCCATGCGAATGAGGTAAATACGGAGACTGTGACCTAAGTCGTGTAGTTGTTCATCAATGCCAACCCCAGCCGGTGCGCTGCTGGCGGACAGACTGACTGACTGACTGACAACATGTCAATTCCAAAGACCATTAATTAATCTCTCCTTTGCCACTCCCCACCACCTCTATAAGACGCCTCCTCCTTGTTCGAGCTGCTCAATAGACTCGAAGCCAAGGAGAGAGGCGGAAGGAGGAGCAGCATGGGCTCCATTTCTCAACCTGTATCCAATCTCTCCCTCGCCGCCAGCGCGCAGGCGAAGCAGCAACAACGAGATCTGCACTGCTTCCGTATGCCACTGCACTACCCGCGCTACACCCGAGCCGACTACGAGTCGATGCCGGAGTGGAAGCTCGACTGCCTCCTCCGGGAGTACGGCCTCCCCGTGACCGGCGACGTCGACCACAAGAGGAGCTTCGCCATGGGCGCCTTCCTCTGGCCCGCCCACTAAAGCCCCATACACTTCCTCACTATATGTCTATGGAGAATGACCTGCTACTACTACTACTACTACTGCTGCTACCTTGTCATAAAGCCAAACAGTTCTCTGTGATGGTTAGATGAGCTTTGCTTCACTTCCTCTGATAGTTGAAATAATCAATCAATCATAAGTGGCGAAGACAGAATTCGAGTTCAAAATCTTACGATAAATCAGTAAAGTTTTCACCAACAGTTGGCATCTTCGATTACATATGATTTCACGTGCCGATATTTTTGCTTAATGGTTGACCTACTGCTGCTGTTGCTGCTACCTTTGACATAAAGCCTAACAGTTCTTTGTGATGATTGTGTCTACAGCTCTACTTCACTTTCTCTCTCTTGCTTGACAATTGAAATGAATGAATCAGATTACATATGGTTTCATGTGTTGAGGTCGTTTGAGTTTTTGTGTTCCCAAGATCACACTCATTTGATAGAATTTCCAGTTCTTTAGCTTGTTCTCTTCCATTCAATCCAAGTCTAGTTGAGTTCGATTTGACATCAGTCGTATCTTGATATGCTTAGTATCCAAAACGATGACAGATCAAGGTTAGTGGAGGAGGCATTTGCATCAAACTAGCTTCGATCGAGTTGCAGCATTTTTCTCTTTCCCTCCTCGAATTTAAAATATCATGCTCGATCGGATTAAATAAGACGTTCACTAACTTGAGCATCGAAAGAAACTGTTATCAAGAGTACAAAATCTACCTAATCTTTTATGTAAGTTTTTGACATTGAGTCATACAAGGAATAGACCGAGTCGACCTAAATCGACCTCATCAAGTGTTGTTTTCGACAGTAACCCTCTTCTACCAAACCAAGATTTGTTTCCTTAGGTAGATTGTGATGCATAGCCGTCTTGACTTTGAGTTGTTGTTAATGGCACCTCACGCCTAACCCCTTCTTTAATTGCCAAGAAGACGTAGTGGGACTTGCAACTTCTTGTTCCACTAATTTGGTTCAAACCATCAAAGGAACTCTTAGAGTATGATATCATAAGGGAAAAAGCTTCTTCAATCTTCTTTTCCTCTTTGGCCATATTTCCTTTTCATGTAGATTGAGACACAAATGCAAAATAGCCTCTTGCAACAGCTTGTCTAAGACTACTATGGTGCAAGAAAGTTTCAAGTGATTGAAGTAATGGAACTCTGCAACTTCTCACTCCACTAATCTAGTCAAATGATCAGGGAACCATTAAAGCATGATATCATATGAGCAAAAGCTTCTTCATCATCTCTTCCTCTTTGGATATACAATTTTCCAAGACTAATTTTGGTGCAAGAAAGTTGCAAGTGATTGAAGCAACAAGAGAGATGAAAATAAAGGTAAAAAGACTATGGTTTCAAGTTTCAGTGTGCTTCATGCAGTGCTACTATTCAGTGTTTCTGTGAAATTATAGAGAGACTGTGAGGAGTGTGTCCTTAGAAATCAAATGTGATATGGGGTGTGTCCTTAGATTGTGAGGAGAGTCTCCTTAGAAATCAAATGTGATATGGAGAGACTGTGAGGAGTGTCCTTAGACTGTGAGGGGTGTGTCCTTAGAAATCAAAACGCATTGGAACTATCATTGGGATAACTGATAAAACCACATCATAAAACAATGGCTCTATATCGTAATATATCTCTAGCTCCATCTAATTCACTCCAATAATATCGTCACGATATGATTCGATAGAATATTAATATATTAGATTTGAGTTATTTGCATTAAATAGTTAAATTTAAGTTACGATAGTAGAATCATCTAGCCTCCTCTATCAATTTAAATCGTTACTCGAGGACGACCAAACTAGGGTATAACAAAAACATGAACCGAAAAATGATCGATGAAATAAATGAGTTCGACTACCTCAACATCATTGTCTATAAATCTTTGATCAGAAATGATTAAGCCCATATAGATGAGACATAATTCAATTTATATTTTCTTTCAACATGGTTCACTCATCAGTAGCGTCACCATCCTCTCAAGAGCGTGGCCATGAATCTCCTTATAGCATTTCCTAGATAACACGCAACGAATGCACAAGTGTATTCGATGCATTAAAGGCAGCTTCGTGTTGTTGGACAACAACGACGACTGGTTTTTTGCTTCTTGTTTCATCATGACACGATCACTAGTTTTGGTGGGGTGACAAAAGTAATGGCTTTGACTACGAGTTCTTCAATGAATGCACTCGACTTTGTTGCATGATTACTTGGTTCATCTTCTACTCATAGAATTCTAAGATTAGGAAGCAGTGTCGATGTCTGTAGAGCAATCTACCATAGACTCTTTTTTCTATTAAGATCTAATAAGCCATTGTGCAAACACTTATAAGATAGATTAGGAGGAAATGATTCCTTCCAACAACAAAAAAAACACATATTTCTCTATTCTAGTGTTTATTGCAATCCAATTGGCTGCTTGATTATATTCACGAAAGTAATATATTACCGTAAATGAATTTAACCATGTTAAAAGTATTTTGACATCGACAATGGTATGTCTTTGAAAGCTGTTTACTTACGCTTTTGAGAGATGCTTTCAAGGTCATTGAAAGCTGTTTACTTACGCTTACAAGTTAGAGGGACTCGGCTTGATGCCTTGGGAAGGTGGCAACATGGAAATGGAGGTTGTGGTGGAGCAAGACACCGGAAGGATGTGCATTTATTGCATGAATCAATCATAGGTCTTTGATCAAGATGATGCACTTTCAAGAGTTCCCCCATTTAATGCCACATCTTTCCCAGTTCTTGTGCTCATCTTGGTTGAAGGAGACAAGTAGCTCGTGGCCAGGATGGTGCCTTGGAGGAGGTTTATGTTCCTTCCAGGAAAGGTCATTTCATGGATGCAAGGAGAAATGTGGTAGAGGAGTGAACAAGGCGTTTGTTGTGATGATTGAGACTGATGAGATAAGTAGCTTATTAACATAATATAATTGAATCATCATCTCAGGCGTAAAATAGTAAAATTTAAATTAGTGATAATCGATTGATGTAAACCTATACACTATATTAATTCTTTACTTCATGTGAGACTTTTGGGATGTTTTTAGGTTCTTTGCCAAGATTTTATGTTGTGATATGCTTAGTAGATAAATTTTGATGTCATATGATTGGATAACCAATTTGCTAATCTAATAATCATGGATCCAATTAATATTTACACTTTGTGTTGAGAAATATTTGGCCATGTAGATTTGTGAATATATTATATCATAGCATTCTATACTGCATTAATTTTGTTATTTTTGGGGGATTCTGCTAGAAATTTTTGTTTCTATGACATATTCATCTTGAATATTGAAACTCCATAAGGTGCCTATTCAGTGAATTTTGCCTCAATCTCCCTGAAACAAAAATTCTTATGTTGTTTGTGTTTGTGATTGTTCTTTCTGTCTCCCTCATCTCTCCACTCTGGTGCTTTGATACAATACATATCCATGTCAAGGGTTTCTAGTGCTTTCATGATCAAAATGGAACTTAAGGATGTAAGATGAATAGAAAAAAACACAAAATAAGCAGAGTTTGAACTACTCAATCTAAATTATC